ATATGGACAGACAGTCATGCCAAACATATCCATCAGGCAAGAGGGCAATAAGAAGCTAGTATCCAGGCTGAACCCTCAAGGCAAGTGGTCCTGATCAACTGCCAACACGTCTACTCAAGGAAATGGCCAATGAAATTACACCTGCACTCACACTTATCTTCCAGGCCTCAATACACCAAGGCAGAAACCCAGCAGACTGGAATACAGGCACATTTACACCAATCTTGAAGAAGGGAGATAATGTGACTAAATATTTCCATATATTCTATTTAGGTGAATATCGAATTCACTTTTGTAAACTTATTTTTCATTCGATGATTTGAATCAAGTCAGTAAGATTCTAACATTTTGTGAAGGCTTTTGTCGAACACTCTTTTGTAATCTTATACCTGACTGGTGTATTCTTTAAATCAACTTAATCCAGTTGCGCAGTAGATCTGGGTATAAATACACAAGTTCGATAAGAATTACTTGTCCCGTCAGCGAATTTCAAGGTCACAACACCTCGTGGTCGTGCTGTCCATATAGGTATTTATTTTTGTAATTCTTTTCTCTTTCATAACTTGCAATGTTATTTTTTATTTTCTATCTATTTAACGTTATGTTTTGTCTAATGGGTAGAATATATTTTATGTATATTTTATCTAGACACAATTGCCATTGCCGTTATTTATTTTCTGTTTAAAATAAAGAAATCAACGTGAACCTAGCTGTGTTGTTCTTCTGCTCGGTTACAATAAGAGCAAACCATCAAACTATCGCCCAGTGTCTTTAACTTCTGTATGCAGCAAAGTCTTGGAACACTTTATACATAGCTCCATCATGCGGTTCTTCGACCAGCACAACATCTTATCCGATATGCAGCATGGATTCCGCAAATCACGATCCTGCGAATCTCAACTTATACTCAATATCCAAGACCTGGCAAAAGGGCTACACGACAATATCGAAATTGATTCCGTGCTCCTCGACTTCTCCAAGGCATTCGACAAAGTGACACACCAGCGGCTGGCTAAAAAGCTACACCACTATGGAATCCGTGGCCCAATTTTTGGATAGAGTCATTCCTAAGCGACAGATCCCAACGTGTTGCGGTGGAAGGCATTTTGTCAGATTCAGCACCAGTAACCTCAGGAGTACCTCAAGGAACAGTGCTAGGTCCAGTGCTATATATCAATGATCTACCTGCACAAGTAAAGTCTTTGTTTTGTTTGTTGTTTAAAGTCCCTCTCGAGAATTTTTCACTCATATGGAGACGCCACCCCTTGCCGGTGGAGGGCTACAAATTTTGACCTATACTCGACACTCGGGGCCATTGAGCAGTGAGGGATCTTTTTCGTGCCAGCACCTACTGTGACATGGGACCTCGGCTTATACGGTCTCATCCGAAGGACCGGTCTCCACGTCCCGCAGTGGGAGTCGAACCCGCTACGTAAGGATCAACACTCTAGAACAGACGCTCTAACCACTGCGCCACGCGGGCGACACAGGCGAAGTCGAAGGCTCGTCTGTTTGCAGATGACCCTCCTGTATAGGAAAATTAGCAGAACAGAAGACAGCAGAGCTACAACAGGACCTAGATAGCCTCGAAGAATGGGAAAGAAATTAATTTATGGAATTCAATCCTGACAAATGCGAGGTCATTCGCATAACACGGAAAAGAAAAATCAGCCAGGGAGACTACATCACACACAATCAGGTTCTGAATTTGACTAATAAGGCTAAGTACCTGGATGTAACCATTACCAACAACTTTATCTGGAATCACCACATAGACCAAGTCTCTCTCCGGAGGAATCTACGATGTCCTCGGAAAACCAAGGAGATGTGCTACACATCAATGATTAGACCTCAACTGGAATATGCTTGTACTGTGTGGGACCCCTATACCCAGAACAACATCAACAAGCTTAAAAGTGTACAGCACTGATCTGCAAGATTTGTGCTGGCCGACTACCAGACCACCAGCAGTGACACATCTATGATTCAGCAGCTGGGATGGGAACCACTGCAACATCGCAGACAAGCCGCAGAAACAGTGCATGTTGATGTATAAGATCTTACACTCTCTAGTAGCCATTCCATCTTCACCTTTTTCCATCATATTGATGCTGCTACTAGAGGTCATCAACAATGACTGCAAATCCCATTTGCCAGAACAGACATCTACAAAGGATCCTTCTTTCCACCTGGGATCCGCCTGTGGAATACTTTACCATCTAGTATAACAGAAGCCCAATACCTAGACTTATTCAAGTCAGGGCTGGCAGAAATTGGTGAACATTAGGTGAAGGTAATGTTTATCCAGTTTTTAATTGTAAATAGAGGACTCTCCACTGCCCCTGCACTGTATGCCCACTAGGCCTTGCACTGTATAGGAAAGAAGAAGTTACTTTTACATTTCATGTAAAGAAACACGCACATGTACATGTATGTACCTGTAGCAGGCGAAACAATGTAAACTGATATTTAAAAAAAAATCATAGTTCTAGTGAACTACCCATAACAAATCCATTTACGAAAAAAAAATCTCCGCTAGTTTTTGGGTGTACGGTTTCCTTGAAATCAAACAAGAATAAAATGGAATTTTGTGTGTGTTGGGGGGGGGGGGGGTAACAAGGTATTATATGTATCATCACAACAACTTTTCATTTGCCAAGTTTTATTGCTCAAATCTGTAGAGGCAATACTATTCTGAGAATTAAACAGATCTTGTGGACATACATTGGTTGTAAATGAAGCAAGTATCTAAACCACAAGCCTTTAGATCGCTTTAATGCGAATCAGAAATTTTGGGTATAAAAAATAAAGATGTGGAACTTCTCAGATAGGGTACCCAATTTCGCCGATGTCAGTCGGATTTAAGCGATTTAGAGACTTTTCCTCTAAACGAATACTAGTAGGGAATTGTAGCCTCTCTGTAAAGTTTAAAATTCTTTCTTTATGCCAACACCGGTAAAAGTCTAGTATACAATATTTTTTATTCCTTTCAAGCTCAAGTGAGCTTTTCTGATCACCTGTTGTCCGTCCGTTTGTAAACCTTTCACATTTTCAACTTCTCCTAGAGAACCACTGGGCCAGTTTTAATCCAAAGTTGTACAAAGCATCCTTGGGTAAAGGGGAGTTTAAATTGCTAAAATGAAGGACCATATCCCCTTACAAGGGGAGGTAATCAAGATATGATAGGGTGGGGTCATTGAAAAATCTTCTCAAGAACCACTGGGCCAGAGAAGCTGAAACTTAAAATAAAAATTCATTTCTCCAAAAAATAAAACATGGACACGTTTAACAATTTTTCTAAGAAATGGTTATGCTTCAGATAACATTGTAGTTATTTATCAATTAAGCCATTTAAATGCCTCATTTGTTACTTAAGCCATATATTATATATCAAAAACATATTATATATCAAAAACATCATAAACAAATTTTGAAAAGTAAAATATAAATGTTCTGTGGTGTATAACACAATTACTCAATGTGTTTGGATTAAGAAGACTTTTGTAAGTTTATAGTTTTATTATAAAGTCACAGCAAAGGCAAAAACAATGGTACATAAAAGAGTTCAATGGCTGCAGGTCTCGGAGCCAAGATGGTGAAAGCTCACATACTCGGAGCTAAGATGGTAAAAAGCTCTCGTAGTCAGTCTTAGAGCTAAGATGTTAAAAGCTATTGATACTCAGTGCGCACATCTTTTGTAAGAAAAGCTGCATCATAGGAATCACGTATTTGGTAATAACAATCAGGAAGTTACAGTATCACATAATTAATATTAATATAGCCCGCCCCTCACTGAAGCTGTCTCATCTCCTGATAGGATACGGCAATGTCCTCTGTTTACATTAACATTGTGTATCTTGCACATTCTTCGGTTAATTAGATGGTTGCAGCTTTGCACAAAGTGTGATTGGATGTGTCAATGTTCAAGAACAACACATCGTAAAAACTATAATTGTCCGTCAAATGAAGACGCTCACTTATTGTATCCAATCTCCAAGAGTTTGTAAACAAGATCATAATTAAGAGGTTATTGTCCATCGCTATACACACTGATAGTATCAATTATAATTCAAAACACAATACTTAAAATATCAATCATCTCAATGTATAAAATTAATATATCAATTAAAATTATAATTTGTACGCTCATTGTGTTACAGGTGGTGCGTAAGCAATTTTGTCTTGTGTATTTAAAAGTTATTTCATTATTCTTTAAAGTGTTTTAGTGTCCTGAATTGTACCAAAACTAAAGGAATGTAATTTTTTTAGGAACCATGTCAACATCATTCTTCTAAATAATAAATTTTGCACTCCTAATTCTTCATTTATACTGGATTACTGAATGTTTCTTACTTGTTCGGTAGCACTTATTACATGTAAGTTAAATAAATAACTGCTAACTCTATGCCCTCAAAATTTTGTGATCATTTTAACGTACTTCTATTACCAAACAAACTATGCTGTTGCCCATGAATCATATATTTGAATTGAATGTGTGTTCAGGTAGGCTTTTGGGAATTTTTTTTAGTGCTGTCTGTAGTCTGCAACGAATTTACAGCTTCTGGCCCGCAGCGCCAATAACATACACGTTAATGATATTCTTACTCCGGGACCAAAATTATGCGCAAACATGTACATTGATAAGCATTTAATTCATAAAATGTTCGTTCCATATACTGCGCAGCCTCGGCGAGAATGGCATCAAACCTGTTTTGGACGTTAGAACATACAATTGTACCACTGCAAACTTGTTTCCTTGAGTAAAAGAATAGAAAACATAGATGAGACTACGGAAATGTGCTGATTCATCGATATGGGTCACTAAATTCCCTTTTTGATATCATATTGTACAACCTTAAGTCGTGTAAAATTCGCAAACATCACACGAATACGTGTTGTAGACAGGGAAACATGATTAACTGACAAGACAAAACTGAAATAAAAGCAAAAGGTTATTAACGCGTTTCCTTTGCGTTTACAGCCATTACGATACAAAGATCATGAACTATTTCACGGGTTTATTTCTGTGTGTCTTCATCGTTGTTGTGGAAAGTTATGGATATCGGAGGGTAATGTTTTATGATCTTTTTTCATACATTATTAAATTTTAGCACCACAATGGGTTTTTCTTAATTTTTCTAGAAAATATTTATTAGTTTATTAATTTCGTTCAAATTTTGCACCTCTCAGATGTACATAATTCTGATTTTTTTTTCACAACAGTGCGTTGTGAAATGAAGCATTTGATATTATGCCCAGACTTAATCATTATTTGCTGTGTTCAAGTGTCAAAAATTAAAAAAAAAAAGCAATAATTAAAGAAAAATGCTTCTCTTTTAAAAAAACAAAACAAAATTCTTTCTCCGTTTTTAGCTCTACTGTTTAGAGAGCAGAAGAGCTTATGCCATCGTCCGTCCGTCTTTCCGTCTCTAAACAATTTGTTTCAAAATGCTACGCCTCCTACAGATTGGGTCTGATTTCAGTATAACTTGGCACACAAGTATACTATACCAAGATAACATAATTCTATATATCGGATTTTTGATTTTAATGACTTTCAAAACGCTACTCCTCCTACAATTTCAGTATAACTCGGCACACACGTAGACTACATTATGATACCTAATTCTTTATATCGGTTTTCGATTCCAATGGGTCTTAAAACCGAGGCGTTGGCGCGATAAAGAATAATCACTGCTCAAGGGCCCTGAGTGCCGAGTACAGGCCTAAATTTGAAGCCCTTCACCGGTATATGGTGACCTCTCTATATGAGTGATAAATTTTCGAACGGGACGTAAAAGATCATTCAATCAATCAATCAATTCCAATGAATGGTGTCGCCATGGTTACTAAAATTGAAATATTTGTGAAATAGTTTCAAAACGCTACTATTACTTGGCACACAGTAGACTACACAAAGATACATAATTTCCTGTATCGGTTTTTGATTTCGATGAATGGTGTTGCCGTGCATACTAAAAATATAAAATATCTGTGAAACACTTTCAAAACGCTACCCCTCCTATAGTGTTAGTCTGATTGCAATTAATCTCTCCTCAAAAAGAGACTAAACCAAAGATCATTATTCTATTCATTGCTTTCCAAAGTTTCAAGTCCAATTGCTTCTATATGAGTGAAAAATTCTCGAACAAACATCATACAATCAATCCTTTGTTATAAGCACAAAACAGTAGAGCTACAGTCTCGCCAGAGACTTCTTTATTTTTTTTCTTATATATTGCTTCTTTGTCTAACCTGTATATTGTCTACTTAACCTGTGCTTTATTTGTGGGCTTTACCTATATTTTTTTCCTTTCAGACCTTTATGCCTATGGCTAAGGTGGACCTTAATGTTTTCTCCGGTAGACCCAACCCATCTGTTGAAGTACCACTTCCCTTAATGATGAATATGATGAAGAAATTTCCTCTCAGACCTACGAAGAACAATCCTCGAGGTATGTTTAACAGTGATGAAGTAAAACAAAAAGTTATTTTACGATAGTACGATTTTACCTTTTCTCTGCAGTACGTGATATTAGGACACTAGGTCAATTTGTTGCCAAAGTGTTCGTATTCGACCTTGTTATCGTTTCCACTTGTCTTAATATTCATTGAAATTTTCCCTAATTAATAATTTTAATCAGGCCATCATTAAAAATATCTTTGTTTCCCCTAACCCGACCCTAAAATCTCAAGGTGGGTGGGTAGGTAGGCAAATAATTTTTTTTTTGGACAGCAGCTTTGAAAATACATTCTAAAATTTAATGGAATGATACTTTTATAAATAAATTAAGTACAAAAGAAAGCGATTTGTAAACAGCTAGAATACCATACAAATGCCGTTTAAACTCAACATTTGATGTTTATTAACTCACAACTATTATTCAGTCGAACTTGTGATTTGTCTCATATTAGAGTAAATTTATTAAAATCCAATACATCTGTTTAAAAGATACTTGAGTACGCAAAGACTATAGTCATCAGAGTATATTTTTCATACCTGCTATCAGCTTCCAGTGCTTACACATGCAACGTACATTTTCAAGGGCTTCGAATTGTGCAGTGGTTCTATTTCGTTTGGGAGTCTCGAAGTAAGGAGCTATTTTTAAGTTGCTGGTTCATATCCAAATGCAGGACGTTGAGACCGGTTCTCCGAATGAGACCGTAAAATCTTAATTAGGTCCAGTGTCGCAGTAGATATATATACTGGCACGAAAAAGATCCCTCACTGCTCAATGGCCTAAAGTGCTGCGTATAAGTCTAAATTTGGAGCCCTTCACTAGGCAAATGTTTAAATAAATGTTTTTGTCCCAACAATTATCGAAGGAATTCAAACCAAAGAAACAACCAATCTTCATGGGCCTTATTAAAGAACAAGAGGCCCAAGGGCCTTAACGGTCACCTGAGTACAATACAACAATTTAGAGGACCCATAAACTGAAAAATGAAGCTTTGTTGCCCAAAAGCAAGAAAAATAGTATGATTAGCATCAACAAAATAATTGGTCTAGTATCTATCTGCCTATCTGACTTTCCAAGTCATTAAATCTATGAAAGTACATTTTCATTATACAATAAATTATCTTGCATAATTCTCTTATTCTATTAAGCTTTCAAATACATTATTTACATTGATTAATTATCAAAGGTGAATGGCAAAGGGGAATAACTTTGCTCAGCAGAATACAAGTTAATAGAGCCCTGGCCAGGACTAGAACACTTGACTAAATGGTCCAGGTGTTCAAAAATCTGGTAAAAATACCCTTGCATATTAAAACTTTTACTCTGTTTGCCTTGAACATCCCCAGAAGCATAGAAGATTTTCAAAGAAATGCATTTTCACCATAAAATTAAATAAATAAAGCCCCATCCTTACCCAGAACATCTGACCCATTGGCCACGAACTCACAATTCTGGAAGAAGCACCCTTTCTCATTATAACTATACACTTGTTTCTTTACTTTATAACCAGTAGTAGAAAAAATATTTTGAAAGAAATTATGCATTTTCACTATATATAATCAATAGAGCTCTTTCCCCCTCACCAGAACCCCTGACCCAAAGGCCATGAGGCATTCTTCCTTATCATAACCATGCACTTCCTTTGTTTGAAAAATACCCAGGTGCACACAAGATTTTGAAAGAATTCATGCCAATTCCCTATCTAATCAATAAAGCCCCACCCTAACACCAGAACCCCTTACCCAGAGGCCATTAAATTCATAATTTCTGAGGCAGCCATGCTCATCATAACTATGTACTTAGTTTATTTAATATCCAGGAGCAGAGAAGATTTTCAAAGAATTAATGCAATTTTACTATATAATCAATGGAGCCCATCCCTAACACCAGAACCCCTGACCCAAGGGCCATGAAACAATTTCTGAAAAGGCAGTCATGCTCACCATAACTATGTTCTTAGTTAGTTTATTTAATACCCAGGAGCAGAGAAAAAGATTTTCAAAGAATTAGTGCAATTCTACTATATAATCAATAGAGCCCTGCCCTAACACCAGAACCCCTGACCCAAGGGCCATGAAATTCACAATTTTGGAAGAGGCACTCTTGCTCATCATAACTATGTACTAAGTTACTTTATTTAATGCCCAGGAGCAGAGAAGATTTTCAAAGAATTAATGCATTTAAACTATATAATCAATAGAGCCCCACCCTAACACCAGAACCTCTGACCCTGGGGCCATGAAATTCACAATTTTGAAAGAGGCACTCTTGTTCTTCATAACTATGTACTTAATACCCAGGAGCAGAGAAAATTATTGCAACTCTACTATATAATCAATAGAGCCCTGCCCTAACACTAGAACCCCTGATCCTGGGGCCATGAAATTCAAAATTTTGAAAGAGGCACTCTAGTTCATCATAACTATATACTAAGTTAGTTTATCTAATACCCAGGAGCAGAGAAGAAGATTTTCAAAGAATTAATGCCTTTTCACTATATAATCAATAGAGCCCCACCCTAACACCAGAATCCCTGACCCTGGGGCCATGAAATTCATAATTTCAGAAGAGGCACTCTTGCTCATCATAAATGTGTACTAACTTAGTTCATTTAATACCCAGGAGCAGATAAGAAGATTTTCAAAGAATTAATGCATTTTAACTATATAATCAATAGAGCCCCGCCCTAACACCAGAACCCCTGACCCTGGGGCCATGAAATTCACAATTTTGGTAGAGGCACTCTTGCTCATCATAACTAAGTACTAAATTAGTTCATTTAATAACCAGGAGCAGATAAGAAGATTTTCAAAGAATTAATGCATTTTAACAATATAATCAATAGAGACCCGCCCTAACACCAGAACCCCTGACCCTGGGGCCATGAAATTCACAATTTTGGAAGAGGCACTCTTGCTCATCATAACTATGTACTAAATTAGTTCATTTAATACCCAGGAGCAGATAAGAAGATTTTCAAAGAATTAATGCATTTTAACTAATGTATATAATCAATAAAGCCCTGCCCTAACACCAGAACCCCTGACCCTGGGGCCATGAAATTCACAATTTTGGAAGAGGCACTCTTGCTCATCATAAATATGTACTAAGTTACTTTATTTAATACCCAGGAGCAGATAAGAAGATTTTCAAAGAATTAATACATTTTCACTATATACTCAATAGAGCCCTGCCCTAACACCAGAACCCCTGACCCAGGGGCCATGAAATTCACAATTTTGAAAGAGGCACTCTTGCTCATCATAACTATATACTTAGTAAATTTATTTAATACCCAGGAGCAGAGAAGAAGATTTTCAAAGAATTAATGCATTTTCTCTATATAATCAATAGAGCCCCGCCCTAACACCAGAACCCCTGATCCTGGGGCCATGAATTTCACAATTTTGAAAGAGGCACTCTTGTTCTTCATAACTATGTACTTAGTTACTTTATTTAATACCCAGGAGCAGAGAAGAAGATTTTCAAAGAAATAATGCACTTTCCCTATATGATCTATATAGCCCCACCCTAGCACCAGAACCCCTGACCCTGGGGCCATGAATTTCACAATTTTGGTAGAGGACTCAATGCTTATTACAATGATGCCAACAGTTTGACTGCTTGATGTCCAGGAATAAAGAAGAAGATTTTTAAAGATTGCATTATTTTTGGTGGTTTTAGCCCCACCCCTCAGGCCCCAGGGGGGCAGGGACCATGGAATTCACAATTTTTGTTCCCCTTCACCCATAGGTGCTATATGCCAAATTTGGTTGAAATTGGTTAAGCGGTTTCAGAGAAGAAGCTAAAAATGTTCAAATGTTAACACACGACGCACACCGCACGACGCACGCCGACGGACGAGAACGGATAGCAATAGGTCACCTGAGTGACTCAGGTGACCTAAAAATACACAGACGTCTCAGGAAGCTTGTATCATAATTTCAAATCTATTTGGAAAAAGTATGTTAACAATATTTAATTGAGACAAACCATATCTAAAAATGAAGAAATGTCATACACAATGTCAAAGTCACGAAGTTTAACCCATGAATGAAAGGCATGAAGAAAGCATAGGCGTCGGAAGCAAATTGAAAGGGGGGGGGTAATTAAAGAGAAAAACATTTCAAACCAGAAAAAAATACTTGACAAGCAAAAAAAAAGGGGGGGGGGGAATTAAAAACCCAAAAATCCTATTTGGGGGGCGGGGGGGGGGGGGAGGTATAGGATTGAACTTCTTTCAATACCATTTTTTTTTTTCAAACGCTACCACTTACCCTTCTTTGATTACACTGCAATGTGCCTGTTGAAAGAGGGGGGGGGGGGCTAAACCTACGGTCCAATGTTCAATGCCTTTATTATGTCTTTCTTTGCAAAAAAAGTGGGGGGGGGGGCTAAGCCCCTCCATAGTCCCCCCGGTTCCAAGGCCTATGGAAGGAACGTTTTAATTCTATTCATCATGATGAAATATGCAGAATTATGTACAACTCGTATGGTCCCATATAGTAAACATAGGAATATTGATGAACTGTTTATAAGGTAAAACTCTGAAAATTTAATAAAATGCAGTGAAATTGATTGGTGTTTCACAAGGTGGACCCCTTGTCTGCTCCTGAGGGGTATCATAAGGATGGTCTACGGGCATAAGCATGCTCTCTACGTACCTTAATTTTAAGACAGGTAAGTAAATACAACCGAAACACTCTGAATGTCATTGTATGTTATATTTTATTAAGAGTGTTTCAAGAGTGTATGATTCTTATATGCTAAGGCATAAGGTTGATACGTCGCCTTTCTTTTTAAACACAAAGTGACGAACTAACCCTCCGTAACTACATGTTGTGGGCGCCATTTTGTTTTCAAAAAGCACATGAAAATCAGAGATCAAAATCGGTCGTTCTGAAAACAACTGATTTTGATGAAATTCTATTTTATAAAAGTTGATAAACATAAAAAAAAATATTGGAATAATTTTATTAAAAAAAAACAACAAACTTTCCAGTCGGCGCGTTTTAACTGGGTCGGTCGCGTTAGGGGAAACAAAGGTATTTTTTATTTTGGCCTCACCAGCCTTGTGGTGGTTGTCAAAGTAGCTGTAGTTCTAAATTAGACTTTTTCATTAACATAGCTTAAAATTTCCCAGGTTAAATTACATCTGCAAAATTATTTATATAGTTTAAAACTAGCAAATTAATTTAATTTTGTGGATTTTAACATCGATTATATATATATATATATATATATATATATATACATATACATACATACAAAAGCATGCGTGATTACGTTCCATATTTATAAAAGGCGGTCATCTATTTTTAGATTTCTTTTATCACCATTTCACAAAAACAAAATTTATATCTAAGAAAATAATTTCACTACGTTTAATTACCTTTGAGTTTAATTTACACATATATACTCCTATGTAAAAAACAAATCATGAAAGTTTTAATTGCAATTCATGTTTGTAAAAAAAAAAATTATTATATCCTCATACCATGCATTCTTGAAGTAAAATTTATTTATCTTATTGTGTTCAGTCATAAGCGTTGTCTTTCTTTCTTTGATCCAATGTAATTTTCACAAGCATCAGATTTTGAACCGATCGTTTATTTTTTAGCTCTTGGATATCGTGGTTTTATTGTAAATATGGGAACAATGTCAATGCCAATTCCTGGAGGTTCGAGCAGAGAACTTGAAGGGATGATGATGAAATTTTTCAACATTCCGATGGAAGTCAGAGACCATTGTAACCAGCAGGTACCTGTATTATACGACAACGTTATTCGTTGACTGCTTTCTTGTACTTAATAATAATCAGGATATCAAGAGCCAATTAAAACACTCACTAGTGTCAAATGGATCATTTTCGAAAATGGTCTAGACAATTAATTTCCAGAGCGATGGCGCTTCGTGATCGGGAGGCCTGGGTTCAATTTTCGTTCGCCGCGCCGCGTCAAACCTAAGACGTAAACAAAGGTAGTATCTATTCCTTTGCCAAGCGCCCGGCATTATAAGTAAAAATCACCAAAGGCGCTCGTGGACAGAAACCCACCCACCCCCTCCAATATACACCTCGGGTCCAAGGATATTTTTGTATGTCTTCCTTCATAAATTATTCTTTTAGCTTATATTTACAATGTATTCCATATGGAAAAAGAAAAAAAAAAACGTAAATCAAACGTTTTATTTAACAAAAAAAATCCTTACCCGCGGTACTATAAAATAGAAAAGGTAATTATAGCTTTAATTTATTTACATTGGATCCCTCTTGATTATCGGGCCTACAATATCATTTACCTACTGCATGTAGGTAAATGATATTGTATCCTACAATATCATTTACCCACTGCATGTGTCGCCCGCGTGGCGCAGTGGTTAGAGCGTTCGCTCTAGAATTGCCGAGTAATTGATCCTTACGTCGCAGGTTCGAATCCCACTATGGGACGTGGAGACCGGTCCTTCGAATGAGACCATATAAACCGAGGTCCTGTGTCGCAGTAGGTGCTGGCATGAAAAAGATCCCTCACTGCTCTGTGGCCCTAAGTGCCGAGCATAGGTCAAAATTTGCAGCTCTCCACCGGCAAGTGGTGGCGTCTCCATATGAGTGAAAAATTCTCTAGAGAGACGTTAAACATTAAATATTTTTGTCTTTAATCTTGCTATTAAATTGTCCAGGCATTCCACTTTAGTACGACTATTTATCGTCAATGGTGAAATTGCTACAAAATTTGGAAATAACTGTTATTGCAAGTAGTAACATAATTATGACACCCCGAAATCACCTTTCCGTACCCATGGTAACGATTTTCATTTAGGATGACGCATGCAGATGGGGAGGGGGATAGTTACAATTTAGCTAGCAATTGTAAACTATGATAAACTTAATGATACCTTTTCGCTGGTACTGCTTACAAATAACCATGCACAGTAACAGCAGTCATAATAAATATAAGTGGTTGTTTTTCGAATTGAATTAAATTTTAGTAAAGTTCAAATTATCTTCTTTTTTTTTTCCAGATTTTTGGCAAAGACAGAAACAATCCTTTGTACACGGTCAGTATAAATTATTTCTTCCAGTACATTGCCGCATACAAGACTTTCTCATCAATTAAATTAAAGTTTTAAAAAAAAACTTGAAATGTTTTATATTGCATTCGCAGGAATTTACGAGTTCAAGAACTTGTCAAAACCCCCAGTCATCAACTATGTTTCAACCATCTAGGTGGAATTCAAATTCAATGATACAAGAACAAAATAACTGTTATAACTATGCCACTGACATCATCACAAACACATTTGCACAACCGGGACGAGCCAGTGGATATAATTACCCAAGTACCACCGGCCAAAATTTGCAGTATAGTTCTGAATTAGATGGACTGGTTCGTGTTGAGCCGCCATCTGAACAGTGTTTACCGGTTCCGAACAGGAATTTAGTTGCTCTAGTAATATGGCCTGGAATGGACTATCACTTTTACCGTTTAGATAGCGATGGAACTTTCTCGCACAAACCTGGTCAGACGATTGCCCGAAATTACGACAATAGCGGTGAAACTATCACAGACCCAAGATCGGCCGATCGTGGACCTTACACAACCTTCCACTGCTTTATGGAGACCAGTTCGAACAGCGTTCGCATCATGTAAATTGAAATAGTTATTAAAAAAAAAAAGAAGCTACAACGCTTGTAGATATGTTTTGTTGTTTTTTTTTATTTCAAGAATGAAATACAGTAAACCACCACCCTGCTGTACTTTTAAATACAGAAAATACCAAAATAAGTAAAACAAACATTTGAAAGCTGATCTGGGTAGGATTTTAGTTACTAGGGAATGGACTTGCTCCAAAAAACTGTTCAAATATATCTAAAAATATTGGAAGAATCAGCATCTGAAGTGTGCATCCCGAGATGCATCATCTTTGCAAGTTTGGTCCAGGTAGGACTTAAATATAAATGAACCTGCACCTATTTACTCTTGTTAAAAATTAGTCAGGTGCAACATCCAAAGCAAGTCTAGCAGCTTTAGTCATTATCAATTATCAATGCAAGTTTTGTCACCACAAGGCTTTAATTACTTGAACATGAACCTGCTCAATTACTTAACCAGCTCTACTGGTTTGTACTTATAACAAAGGAAGAGAAAAGTAGCACTTGGACTTGAAACTTTGCAACAACAATAAATAAATAATAACCCTTGTTTTACTGTCTTTTTGTGGCAAGATGAATTGCAATCGGACTGAAACTGTAGAAGGAGTAGCCTTTTAAAAGAATTTTAGAGAAATTTTGATTTTAGTTACCATGGCAACATCATTCATCAAAGAACAATACAGACAATTATGTATCTCAATGTAGTCTACTTCCATGCGACGCTATATTAAAATCACTTGTGACAAGTTCTTAATATTGAAATCAGACCAAAAATGTAGGAGGTAGCGTTTTGAAAGTATTTCACAGAAATTTCTGTTTTCAGTTACCATGGCAACACCGTTCATGGAAATCAAAAACCGATATATAGAATTATTTATCTTAGTGTAGTCTACTTGTGTGCCAAGTTATATTGAAATCAGACCAAAAACTGTAGGAGAAGAAGCATTTTGAAAAATTGCTTAAAGACAGATAGACAGACAGACAGACGGACGGACACCTTACTATCGGATAAGCTCTTCTGATCTCTGACCAGTAGAGCTAAAAATGAACCTGCTCCAAATATTCCATTTGGTCACATATCCGGAAAATATAGACCAGAACCAGCATCTAAAGCAAGTCTCCTTAGTTTGCATCCCTAGATCAATCATACACATTCAAGATTTGTTCAGGTAGGGCTTATCGTTATTTTAAATGAATCTTGCTCCAAAACCTTTAACCTGTTCGGTCATCCGGAAAAATAGGTCAGATCCTACATCCGAAGCAAAACTAAGGGCTTTCATGCATACATGAATCATGCATACAAGATTGGTCAAGGTAGGGCTTATAGTTGCGAAGGCATGCACCTGCTTCAAAACTTTAACCTGTTCACTCATTTGGAAATTATAGGTCAGATCCTACATCCGAAGCATGTTTGGAAGAGTGCATCCCTACATGCAAGTTTGGTTCAGGTAGGATTTATAATTACTCTAGAATGAACCTGGTCCCAAAACCTTAACCTGTTCACTCAGACAGAAAATGAAGATCAGATTCAGCATCCGGAACAAGTCTGGTAATGTGCATCTCTTGATGTCATCCTGCAACTTTGGTCAGGTGGTGCTTATACGAGGGTTGTCCAAGAAAAAACGCCAACTTTATAAATAATTCATAAACTTACTGACCAAAATTATTCATTTTTGGCCTAATGTTGGGAAATGATAATTTTGTCATTTTGGCTATATAATATTACGTTCCAATGCCATATGCATTTATAAACAACATTTGAAGGGAGTTAAATATCGATGGTCGGCGCACGGCAATTTCTTGACTTTCAAAAATAGCACTGATAGCAATGTAAGGATATATAATGTGATAAAAATTATATCCTTAAAAACTTTATGATCTTGATTACTCGTGTGTAAAAAAAATTAACATATAATATTAAGACATCATAAATAACAAATACATGACGTTATACATAAATGCACAAACTCTGTTTATTAGATATTGCCAAAAACGGCGACGTCCAGCGATAATGCGTCGCCGAATTATCACTCAGTAGTGTGTGGTGTAGGGTTTGACTCCTGTTCATAAGGAAATAGAGCTGGGAACGACACAAATACAATGTACATGTATCAATCACAGGTTTATACATAGTAAAAGAGGTTCAAAGATGAATGGACTGGTTATCCGATGGAAGGAGTGTTTGGTAGACCAACAAAAATGAAGATAAACTGAAAAATAGAGCTGGAGACCACCATTATCAATTTGAGCTGTTTGGTTTACGATCGAGGTTGGGAAATTGTCTATTAAATGAATTTATTCCTTGATTTATTCTTAATTGTAGTACGTGTGAAATGGATAATTCGGTGACTAAAAGAAAATAAAATGCAGTACTGAATTTATGCTTCGAAAGAATTTTTAAAGTCGCACGTTTCCTGAACCAATTCAAAAACCACACGAGCTACGTTTTGTCGTCGTTAGTGTTGCACCGGCAGCTATTTTGAATGATTCGTTTACCAAAGAGAAAAATGTTATTTATAGAGATATTTTCCTGAAATTTCTGTGAATTGTTTTAAAAATGTTGATTTTAATGCATGCCAATTTTTAAATTTATAATATTATTAAAACATAAAATATTGAAAATGTTTGCGTTTTTCTGGGACAACCCTCATGGTTACTTGGGAATGAGACCTGACCCAACAACTCAAACCTGCTCTAAAAAATTTTTACCTGCCCTCAAAACATCAACGAAGTCATTCTAATGGTAAAAGCATTTTAAATGAATGGTACAATAAATCATACTAGATGTATCATCCATGCAACTAGGATCAATATAGGGCAAAGAAGTACACTTAGAAAGAAAACTACTCAAAAACTTTAACCAGGGACACTGACACCGTGGGTATGACATAAGCTCCCCCCGACTTCTTTGAGGTGAGCTAAATTGCAGTTCTATAACTGGGTTAAACTGGCCAAAAGATTACTCTTTCCCATGTTTTTCAAAAAATCTCCTGAGCACTTGTTCATGTATTCTATAAATTGAATATTTATCGACAAAAGCAATGTCCTCTGTTGGAAAAAAAATGGTTTGGGTATGGATGTTTCCTCCCGTTTTTTTTTTAAAATAAGTTTGAACATTTTAAATAGATTGAGAAAATACAGGGTTTAGTGGAGCTTCTTCACTTTATCAATTATAGAAAATGTACTTTACTCTGACACCACGATCAATTGACCGCAGCGGGAAGCAAATCAAAATCGTTGCTACGTCTTTCCGTATGAAGCAAAATGGCAATTCCAAAGCGTTGTTAGTACTGGTAGTCACGATGCTCTGCAAATATAGAATGACTAGAACATTTATTCTATATCTGCTGCCACAACAAAGGCTTTCGAAAGCATTATAATTTGCCCAGCAAAGTTTTTGTCAAACTTGACCCACACAGTACATATGGAGAAATGCTGTACACTTTATGAGTTAATTATCACGTGCCCGTTACTAATTAACATTCATTGTGATATTTGTAAAAAAAAATCCTCATAATTTAATTAAACCATATGAGGAAGAACTTATTCCGAATGGATGATATATAATTATCTCTTTTTTTTCCCTTATATAATGCATTGAATTGAAATCTGTCATATTAATTAAATACAGTATGGCTGCTATGCAAACAAGAAAAATGTACACCATTTCTCCATATGAGAACCTTGATGTCAGATCATCTAGGTAGGGCATATAAAGTATATCTAGTAATGTGCATTCCAAGATACATCATCCAAGCATTTCATTGGACAAAAATTCTACACTTTAAATCTATTGACCTTGCCCAAGTGACCATGATGCGGGGTACAAGTACTTTACACCCTTTGGTCAATAGCAACCCTTGTGTCTAATGAAGTATTTTTGTTTTCCTTCGCATCAATAATGGCAAGACAAGAATTTTAATATTTCTACACCAAGATACCTTGACCTTGTCCAGTATATGCTTAGGTTGGGTCAGGGCATGCCCTTGTTTCACATGCAACCTTTCTCTCAGGTGGAAGTTTCTACTGTTTCTCCATTTAAAACAATATCTTGTATACTCATTGATGTTGTGCAAAGTGACTTTGGTACAGGTCCATGGCAAACCTTAACACAAGCTACCTTTGTGTCCGATATGAGCCTGTAAAGGTACTTGGTTACAAAGTTATGTCCAGACAAGAATTTCTTTCCTTTTATTCTTGCTAGAGAAGTAGTATACATTGAAATCCATCAAAAAGTCACAAATCTTTTAACATTGACAAATAAATGAGAAAATAATAGGATCAAATGGTATATATTTATTCTACAAAGTTTGAGAAAAAATAATTTCAGAGATTATCTCTGGTCAAAAATGTCTTTAGACAGACGACGACAGACTGGTGATTCCAGTATACCTCCCAAACTTTATTAGTAGGCGTATAATAAAGGAAAATCAAGTCGCAGACTAGATTTGATTGAATCTCTTTTTGAACAGACAGTAGCAGAGGAAATTGAAAAGGATGACAGGAAAAATCCCAGCTTTGAATTTGAAGACAGAATAAAAAAGATGATGACAATATAATTCAATGTTCCAGGAAGTCGTAATCGGTTGAAAAAGGATAAAATAAATCGTTTCTCTCTTTAACATTTATCATGTTTCTGAAAAACTTCTCAACGGAGTTGGAGCTCGTACCGACCTTCACAAGGACATATCGAGACATTCTTATTCAGCTCTTTTTATTTTTTTTAAATACATATTATTCATAGCTACATGGTCTTGAAATGACCTTCTACTCTTAGTAGTACGAAATAGTTTTAAAAGATTTCTTGAAGAGGGAGTGTATAAATTCAAAACCCTAAGTCTAGAACCCGGTGCTGATATATTTTCGTACGCATACCACTTCTTTCTTTTTATAAAACTGTGTGGGACTTCTCAAATTTCTCAGAATAATGAGAACAGATATGTTGATATATACCTCGGAATATCCTCTCTTACATTACCTCGTCACAGTATTACTTCGTAAGAAATTTATTATTAGTGAGAATTATGATTTTATATTATTATGAATACAAAATTTTTCGTTCATCTTTTAAAAACTTTGATAAAATTTTCTGGTTCAAACAAAATTTATTCTTAATATTTAATTTTTCTCTTGTCTCTTCTCGCCAAATATGACAACTCAAATTTAAGGTAACCATTATCAGCTTTACACAATGCACTTCGTCATCACTAGGAAGAGGCGTTAACAACGTTCGGTTGATAAGTGCAGTGTTATGACGATTCTCGGAAAGCTTCTACCAGGCAGCGTGACGATCATGTAATCATTCCAATTATATCCTGTCCTATTTCTTTACATAAATAGAAAACCCCATCGCGCAAAATTGTTCGTCCATTTCATAAGATGTAAAAATGTCAAGATCTTATAAATGTAAAATCTTGCTTTCTGCACTTGACAACGTAAGAAGTACATAAAAAATTAACAAGACAAACGTCCAATAAATGACATATTTTAAATTAATCATTAAGAAAAATCCGGCATGATGTTACAAGGTAGTTGTCATTGTATGCAATAGCTTCGACGACTCAACAGAAGGAATGTGTACACTTCATTTCATCTTCATTTTAATTCTACTCCTTTCCAAGAACAGCGATGCCCAAACTCAGGTAAGAAAAGTGTGTAACTGTACTTCTCACTTGATAAGTTTCACTATTGTACCTTTGTATTTTTATTGTATTAAAAAAAATATTTGTAGGTTTTCTTATCTCTCTTGCATTTATAACACCACTGAATATTATACACTTATTGCATGATCGTGAGGGAAATGTGAAGATTTATCCGCCAACAAAAATTATATTCCTCGAGGGTTTTACCCAAGGGAAATATGACTTTTCTTGGCTGGTAACAGGGATCGACACCAACTTTAAAATCATAGTAGCCCGCAGGGCTATCAATTTTTAATTTCTACTAACCCTGTACATGAATTACTTGTCCAGAAGCCAAAGACTGCAAGCCAAGTCGCAAAGTGACGGGTGGGGGGTCCTCTCCTGCTAGTGGTGTACAGAAGGCCTCCTCTGGTAAATTTTGAAAATAAAAGTGTTAAATCCTGCATTGTTGTTGTATTTTTGGGTAAAATAATAACACTTTTTGACTGAAACCAAGGACCTCTGTCCTTATTAAAAGATTCCACATTTACTCAGCCACACTTTTCAATTTTAATTCATAGTCTTTGTCACTGCATTGTTTACAAGTATTCACAAGTATGTACAGTTTTTACAACGGGGGTTTCAAATATAGACTATAAAGATTATTAATAAGTCGGACCAAACCAACGTCGGACAATAGCATCGTCCACAGTCCGACTTGTCTGATGGCAAATCAAACGTTCGTTCTTTCTTATACCTCGCTAACAAAATCTGAACTTGCACTTTTTTAAATGAATCTTTACAATTACTCTGAGTGTTTGGTAATTAAAATTTCAGTAGCCCTGCAGGACAAGCTTGAAGACATCTTTAGTAGCCAGACCTCAATTTTCAATTGTTCCATGCTAGCAGGCTACGTTAGTGTCGAACCCTAGATAAATCTTCATATTTCCCTCAAGATCATGCAATGAATTGTTTATTATAACGAATCAAGCCAATCTTTTAAAAAATAAACTCAAACTTTCAGATTTGACACTGCTCTCAATTTCACTTTCAATTGAATTGAGCTGATTTCAGAAAAAATTGTGTCCCCCGCTTAAAGAGAAAAAAAGAAGAGGGTGGAATAACTGGAAAAAATTAGCAGATGAGGAATAAAAAAAGGTCAACCTTCACCTCTCAGCCTTATCGTCAATAGGCGTCTTTATCAAGTTAAAGAAATTAATGATCAAAAGTTTCATTGCAAAAACTTACATAAAAACTAAAATTATTATCTGAAAACTATATATGCAATATATATTTCTGACCTTGACCTTTTGATCAAAATCAATATGGGTTTTTAAAGGCCATGGGAAGTTTTGGTATAAATTTTCATTGCAATATCTCTCAGACTTTTAAAGAGATTTGGGGGAAAATCTACACAGACAGAATGTATGAATTTATGACCTTGACCTCTGACCTTTTGATCTGAAGATCCTTAGAGTTCTTCTTCAGATCATGGGTAGTTGTGATTTTAAATTTTATCGAAAAGCTCAAAGAAAACTAAAGTCATCATCTGGAAAATGCATTTGCAATGTATTTATTTAATTTATGGCCTTTAGAGTTTTATTCTTGGTCATGCGAGAGTATAGATCAATCAGTTGCGTTTTATAGAAATATTATATGAGGTATTTAAGAAATAAACAACGTTATTCAGTGAACATGGCATTATGAATAGCAATAGCTCTGCTGGCATATTTTTCATGATGCGCATCATGGAATATGCCAGCAGAGCATTTGCTATTAATAACGCCATGTTCACTGAATAGTCGTTGTTTATTACTTATATCTGCATTCTGTGATGTCAAGAATATTAGAGGAAATCCTGGCCTGCATAAGGGCATCGGTGCAGGCTTGTCTCCAGTGAAGAAAAATATGACAATAAAATTAGTAAACCTGATAAATAATAATTTATCCACTTAATAATTTATCTTCAATAAATCACATACAATATATATGGCATTTACTTATTAACCAGTTATCTGGATACAAACCGCGCCGTCCTCAAATTCTTAATTTTTTGTTTTGATGCTGTTGTGACGCGCCATGACGTCACCGTCATCGAAACTCTCTGAGGAAAACTATAAATAAAAATATTATGAAAAAAGAGAAGGTTTTTACATTGATTTTAACTTAAAAATGTTTTTCCTATGTTTTTTTAGATCTTAAAATTCTTTTTAAGAGTTAAAATCGTTCTTGAAATAGATACACTATTACAGAAACGCTTTGTTTGAACGTAAAAAAAAACCCTAGCGTGAAGAGTTATCGTTCTTTGCAACAATATGCGTAAAAATGAACAAATAAATTAAAAATATAGAGCTCTATTTATTTTGTAGAAAGTTTTATTTTACAGTTAAACACGTTGACCAAAATTCTTATTTTTTTTTTTTAAATTAAAAACACGTCAATCAATAATCTTAATCATTTTAAATGTCTTTTTCCCAGAGGATTGCATTAAAAACTTTAATTTCTTTTGCACAACTTTCCATATATATACTTCTGATTGTGTTGTAGAAGTGGAGTAGCTTGTACTGGGCCAGTGTACGAAACGAACTGCCCTTATAGCAGAAGTTGCGTTCATGGTGCTATGAACGCAACTGGTGAGTGCAGGTTCATAGTGGGAGAAAACAGAGAGAATGCAATTATAATAATATATTTACAGAACGGGACTGTTATAGTAGAGCTTAACGTCTTTTCCGGACGACCAAATCCCATCGCTCGAATGGTGAAAAGACCAGTTCAACGAATGTTAGCCTCAAGTAATCTATTGACACAATCTGCCTTGCCCAACGGTAAGATTAAATGAAAAAAATGTTCTCTTATGTCCTTTCATATTACAAATAAAGTCGTAAGAATCAAAATCTGACATACCTATCTATGTTTTAAGTTTTGGGGTACCGCGGGTTCACGATTTATGACCTTGAGAATGCAACGGAAACCAGATTCGTCGCAAGAGGATCGGACATATCAATAGAACACCAACTACTAGAGTGGAGTGCAATATCAATAGGCATACAACAACATTGCCGACAGAAGGTACCTAATATACGCTGCATTAACTTGCAAATATTACAAGGTAGTAATAATACACACATGTATAAATCTAAACAGGTTAAAGTAAATTTACTTGGTTACGGCTTGTTTGCTTTAAGTAAAAATCACCCCTATTTTCAAAATGGAACTAAAATGCAGTTAAGCAAGATTTATTGTTAAGTTTTGAAAAGATTGCGGACAACTCTCTTTTCTTTACGAATCGTGTTAAGTTTTAATATCGACTATAAGCAGTGGTCATTCTTCTTAAGCGCATACTAATCTGTAACATGTTATGGTCATTGTGCATACCTGAAATAATGGTACTAACTTGGCAAGTATTCCCCATAAATGTATTGGAGCAATAAGATCAATTTTTTAAAGTAAAATAATTTTTAACCTGTTGAGGAACAGTCCACCTTCTTCGCCACCTACATCTGATAATTGGCTGCATGCAATGGATCAAGGAAATTTCGTTGACATTACTTATTTGGATTTTAGCAAGTGTGATCACTTTGATCCCATATCAATTAGAGAACACTTGCGGACAAAAAAAAGTACCGGAGAAGAAATTTTGAAAAAGGAAAAACAATATGTGCCCAAACTTCGTTTGGGGAACATAATTAGAAAACTCTAATCTTCATTTACAACTTTCCGGTTATCCCCTTGAAGACGTTAGAATGGAGAAATTATTAGGTGTTCACATTGAACATACTCTTCAATATAGCTGTCAGGGTTTTTTCGGTTTGTTTATTGTTTAACGTCCCTCTCGAGAATTTTTCACTCGTATGGAGACGCCACCACTTGCCGGTGGAGAGCTACAAATTTTGACCTATACTCGGCACTCAGGGCCATTGAGCAGTGAGGGATCTTTTTGGTGCCAGCACCTACTGCGACACGGGACCTCGGTTTATACGGTCTCATCCGAAGGACCGGTCTCCACGTCCCACAGTGGGATTCGAACCCGCGACGTACGGATCAACTCCTTACTCCGCGACTCTGGAGCGAACGCTCTAACCACTGCGCCACGCGGCCGGGCGACTACCTGTCAGGTAGATGCAGTTTGCAAACTCTTACATATAAATTATTTACTCTTCGAAAATTAAAAAGTTCCTTCCACTGCATACTTGAAAGCTATTTTATAATGCATTTATTTTACCATCAATTTTATATTGTTTATCCATTTGGGGTAACTATATCCTCAAACGCACATCGATAGAATATACAGACTTCAAAAAGGAACAGCTAGGATTATTTTAAAGGAAATATGATGCACATTCAATGCCCTTATTTAACATTTTAGGCTGGTTAACGGTATATGAACTACTGTATTTACAGAAAAACATTCTAATGTTCAGAACATTTCATGGTATGTCTTCTGATTATATACATGATTTTTTTTTTGGAATTTCAAAGTTCTGGATCATACACGTTACACGTTAGACAAAAACCTAAATATAAAATAAATTTAATTAATAAATCTTTACAATATTCAGAGGTTTTTATTCCTTCTCTTGTAGCGTAGTGTTTATATTTTATTGTCTCATAAGTGTGATTTGTGTTTATTGTATACATACAGTGTATATGTATTATAAAGAAGGCCCTGAGGAAGACTGGTGCTTGCACTAATCGGGTTACCTTCTATAGATAAAGTATTATTATAATTTAAATCATGGAGGACTCTTGATTATAGAATAAAAATAAATCAATTCTTTGAAAATCTTCTCTGCCTCTGGGTATTAAGTAGATAAACCAAGTGCATGGTTATGATGAGCAAGGGTGCATCTTTCAATTGTAAAATTTGTGGCTCCAGGATCTGGTGTTCGAGTGTATAGCGCTCTATAGATCAGATAGTGAAAATGCAAAAATTCTTTCAAGGTCAATAAAATAAAAATAGAATTGTATAAGAATGTTCATAATAAATGATACAAAAGATTTTTCATAGTATTTAATGGTCAGATGATTGTAAATGATAAATAAAAATGAGACAAGAATTCCTGATTTTTGTACATTTATTGTTAACGTTCTTGAAGACTAAGGGAGGCCAGTTTAAGGGGGAATGGCGTGGGTTTACTAAAAGTGCTCAAGCAAATAAATCTACTTGAAGATTTATTACCGAGTATTAATCTAATTATTTCATTGATCAGTATTTTTATGTTATTTAGTAATTCTAACGATCCATACAGTGTTGTATTATACTGAAGTGATCGTTGAGGCCATTGGGTCTCTTGTTATAATTCTACTCCTGCTGTAAGTTTTGTTTTTACCTCATTTATATGAATAATACTTCAATTATAATGTCATGTTACTTTTGCACCAATGTCAACCGTTTTCAGAATGTGACTATGATTGTTTGATAATGTTACTAATGCCTGTGCGTGTTTGAATCAATTTTGTTTTTGCAAAGATTTAGCATTAATATTTGAGTATATAGCAAACGTACAGTGCACTTATTGCATGGTTATAATGAGCAATGGTGCCTCTTCCAAAATTGTGAAATTCATGGCCTCATGTTTAGGGATTTCGGTGTTAGGGTGGGACTCCATTCAAAAGTTCTTTAAAAATCTTAGTAATTGAAGGGCATTATGAGTAAGGATGCCTCTTCCAGATCGTGAAATCCATGGCCCCAATAGGGGTTTTTGTGTAAGGGAGGGGCTCTATTGATTTTAAGAGAAAATACATTAATTCTTTGAATATTTTCTGTGCTCCTGGGTTTTTAGCAGATAATTAAGTACACGATTGTGATACTGTGATAAGCAAGGGTGCTTCCCCCAAAATTGTGAAACATGGCCCTTGGGACAGAGGTTCTAATATAGGGCTGATTCTATTGATCATAAAGTGAAAATGTATTAATTCTTTGAAAATCTTCTCTCCCCTTGTATACTTAACAGAAAAAGTGCTTGGTTGTAAGTAGCAAGGGTCCCTATTTCAAAATGTTGAAAATTCTTGGCCCCGGTATGAGGATTTCTGTTGTTAGGGCACGGCTCTACCTCAGTATTTATTAAAAAGTAAAAATGCATAAACTCTTTGAGAATCTCCATCTCTGCTTCTGGACAACTACGAGGCAAACGGAGTACAAACCTGTAATCAGCAAGGGTATTTTTACCAGATTTGTGAAAAAATTGGACCACTGGGTCAAGTGCTTTGGTTCTTGGTAGGTCTCTATTGATCTTGTAAGGAAATTTGTGCTTTACTGAGATAAGTTTTTGTCCCCCGCTTTCACTGAAAGTATGGGATATTAATTTGGGTGTGTCTGTACGTCCGTCTGTGTTTATGTCTGTCTGTAACGCTTTCGTTTCCGCACGATATCTCGAGAACCCTTTGAGCTTTCGCAATGAAATTTTGCATAGCAACTCCCTATGGCCTAAAGAAGAACCCTTTTGATTTTAAGGTCAAAGGTCAAGGTCATAAATTCTGTCTCTTTTGACACTCGTTTCCACGCGATATCTCGAGAATGCTTTGAGCTTTTGCAATGAAATTTTACGTAACAACTCCTGTGGCCTAAGGAAGACCTCTTTTGATTTTGAGGTCAAAAGGTCAAAGTTCAAGGTCGTAAATTCATAAATTCCATCAGTGTGTAACACTTTAGTTTCCGGGCGATATCTCAAGACGTTTTTGAGCTTTTGCAATGAAATTTTATACCATAACTCCCTATAGCCTCTCTTGTCCCTCTCAAAGTATCCCACCCCGTTTTTTTAAATTTATTTATTGTATTGAAAGTCGCTTGGCACTATTTTTAGCACAGGGACATGTCGAGAGTTATTACGTATAATACAGGTTGTCGGCGGACTTTATATTCTAATAACATCTATTAGAACTGTTTATTAAAGGCTAAATTAGACAAAATTTATTGTGTAAAATTTTGACAATATCAAACGTGAAATGTAAACATTATATGTGACTTAATATTGCATCTAATTTGTTCTATAATCAAGTACCTCCGTGGTCTAGTGGTATGTTGCTCGCTTAACAAGCGAGAGGCCCTGGTTCAATCCCCGGACGATTATCTTTTGTTTTAATGGGTTTTTTTTTTATTTACATGTACTAAAGGATACTATTTAACATGTGAAATGAAAAATCTATTATGTCTGGCGTCATAAAATCATTATTACACTGTGATAAATATTCTGTATATAGTATATGAAAAAAAATCTTCTATACACATATTAAAGAATAAGCAATCAAATCTTTATATCCATATTGGCTTTTTTTTTAATTTGCTACAATATACATGTATACATTTAATAATTCTACAAATACAGGGGGGGGGGGGAGTGTGACCCCTGCCCCCCCCCCCCCCGAAACTGCGCATGCTCTTCTTTTTTCACTAAGCGGGGGACACAAATTCTCTCAATTAGCTTGTTTCCCTTGCATTTTACCTATGATTATTATTCACTATAAATAGTGTTGTTGATAAGTCAATTGAATAAAAGAATTACACAAGATTTTTAATGTATTTTTATAGAGGAAAAATAACGCACTGTAAAATTTCCTTTATTAACAGTGTTAATAAATTTATGAATTCAAGAGACAGTTTATTCATTTATTTATTCCGAGATCAGTTCACACTACCAGTAGTTATACTAGGGTTGATCCAAAAGTTCATGGATTCTTTCTAAAATTTCCCTGTGATTTGATTGATACAAACAATAGACATATTTAGAATCTAGATCCATTATGCAACAATAATGGAAAATTTCACCACGTTCCAATTACTATTAAGGTCACACGAGCTATCTGAACATGAACAGTTGAAAAATTCGGAGGAGACTTCGACGTAACGTCAAGTTACACGTGTAGGTATATCACGTGCGTTCTACGAGCATCTCATCCTCACGTTCAAATTGACTTAGAAGTTCTACAGAACACATCATTTTTTTTACTCCATTTCCGTTCTCAAGAAAAGCCTGGCTATCCCTCTTGCACCCACTTTTTCATATTACAATCATTTTTCAAAATACTCCCCGTCTTTCCATATGATGTTTCGATTTCAGTAGCAATGTCAA